CTACAAGGTGCCTTGATAACATCGATGAAGATATGACAAATATCGGAATACGTCCTTGGCGAAGGAAGGCAATGAATAGGGACAATTTTAAAGAAATTGTACAGCAAAAATGACCATAATGAACAAGTTCATGATAAGCTTTATTAGATATATGTATACTCTGTAAGTATACTTAGATAAGAATACCAAGAGACTAGTCTAAAGTAAGTATATGTAATATCTGATAAAATTGAGCCAAAGTATTGGTGATGGAAAAAATATCCAACTGCACGTAATATAATATTATGTAAGGACAGTATCGTGAGAAAATATATAGAGAGTAAAGGAGAAGAAAATATCAATTGTATGTATTATGTGACTATTTGTACAATAATAAATGTAATTTTGTAATCCACTTGATCCAGGAAGAACACGAAGAAGAACACTTTTCTACAAAAACAACAAAACGCACGTAAAACATTAAAAAGGAAGAGTGTTCGTTTTTACGTGTTCTCAATTTGAATATTTTTTTTAAAACTTGTAAATTATTGTCTGTCATTGACCAGATTCATCAGACCAGATTTACATTGACATCTGTTTTTAATTCCTTTAATGTAGTCAATGGCTGAGTGAATCAATTGGGTGTGTCACGATTTTGCGAAAAATATATTTGAAGATAGGCAATATCTTCTAGTAGTGTGTGTTATCAGATTAGCATAATGTTTACACATGCCAAGCGAAAAAACATTTTACATATTATCCAGAGAATTATTTTACTACATTCCATACAGTCACATTTTAGCTAAACACTGCGAACAAGCCTAACATTGTCGAGGTTTTGCAAAATAGGTATTTCTTTCATCAGTTCTTGTCATTCGAGCCAATGTTTCTTTTACAATTAATTTTTTCAGATTTCAGAAGAAATACCAGCCACAGCGGGAGAATAAGCCGAATGATAGGGCAATTTGAAGACCACCTCATTAATGTTTGCCATTGTCATAACGCTTTTATGAGCCCTTGCATTGTCTTAGTAAAACAATACTTTGTTTTCTGCATCTGGAGCCATTTCGTTTCTGGGAGACTTACTGTATTAGTTTGTCCAATAATGCACAAAAAGATCGACTTTATAATTTAAATGTTTTCCAGATCTTCTTCCATAACCTATCGATCGTTGGATATCTATATGTTAGCTACCATATTGTCTATCGTGACTGAGCAACTCTAAATAATGATAGAGTTTATTTTCCGTGCCATTGTCTTTCATGGAAAATTTCAGCCATGATGCTCTTCTTCTACCAGAACCACATTTATCTTAAAGTTTTTCTGTGCAAAGTGTTCCAGTTTGCGTCTCTTTTCACGACAGTCTTTTTCTTTTTTAGATTTTTCCTTTCGCTGTTAGTTGAGACTATTGGTACTTATTATTTCTTTCACTGTAATAAAAAATTTTCATTCCTTGCCTATTCTATGCAGCACTCATTTGACGTATGTGATGTCCATGCAATCTTGAAGATTCTCCGATAGGTTTACATTTTAAAGACTTTAGTTTATTTTCGGTTGATGTGTTGAAGGGTTCACGCATTGGAAAGAGTCAATCAGACGTAGCATTTTGATAAACGTACTCGAATTTCCAGTTTTATTCGAGAAATACATAGCAGTCTTTTTATATTTTCTTAAGTGTCTATACATTGCAAAAGGTAAATGGTGATATTACATGCCTTTTCTATTTTATATAAATTATTTATTCTTACTATTTATTCTCATTTTTCCTAAAAATATTAAATAATAAGTATAATTCTGTGAAATTGGCAAAAGTCTTAACCCAAATCATTGAAATTTCATAGTTAACTCTAATTATAAGATTCTAATTTTAAATAAGATTTTTCTCGATTTCTTAGAATACATACTATTGGTAATAGAAAACTACAATAGCCCTATGTATTTATTATCCAGCGAGTGTTACAGTGATTGACTTTAAAGCTGCAATCTCTATCTATATTACCAATATCCCTAAGCGCTATATATATGGAAAGCAATATAAGCCTATATAATTAGTGCACTATTACCCGCTTTTCAGAATATACATCGTTTACACATGAAACTAATTGCAACAAAATCTATGCTCAATTACTTCGTAATTAAAATTTTAATATTACCAAAATCTGCTAGTTTAGTTAATGAACTAAAGCTACAAGCTTTAAGCAAATAATTTAAGATTTGATTAAGATTTTCGAAAACGACGAATTTTGTAAAATAATAGATGACAATGGTAATTATTTTATACTTCCTATACAGACAAGAGTGTATAGAATAAATCATGAAATAATGTACCATTGAGAGTGCATAAATAAAAGACGTAGTTGTGGACAAAAAAACAGATTCAATACAAATTCAAAATTTGACAGGACTCTGTGACTTATAACACATGAAACTGATATTACAACATAAAAGCCTTATGAATATTGTAAATTTCAAGCACCTAGGTATGTTTCTTATATATAAGTGCAACATACTTCCAGGTAGAAGTAGGTCCAGAAATAACGGAAGAGGAAGTAATGTACGCACTAAAAAGAATGAAAAATGGTAAAGCCCCAAGTCCAGATGAAATATCAACGGAAATCCTTAAGCTAATAGAAAAAGACTCGATTCACATTTTAGTTAAACTTTTCAATAGCATTTATACATCAGGAAAAATACCACAAGAATGGCTTTTATCCACCTTTGTTATTATACCAAAAAAGATAAATGCCAAACAATGTAGTGATTACCGTACAATCAGTCTGATGAGTCATGTACTGAAAATATTCCCGAAAATTATACACTCTAGAGTACACAGAAAACTGTAAATGAACATCAATAATACCCAGATTAGATTCCGTAATGGACTCGGAACAAGAGAGGCGTTGTTTGCACCGAACGTTATGTCTCAAAGATGTCTTGACATAAATCAAGATGTATCCATGTGTTTCAAAGATTACAACGAGGCCTTTGATAAAGTGCGGCTTGATCACCTAATCAGACTCCTGACAGAAAATAATTTAGATAAACGAGACATCCGACTAATAGCAAATATCTACTACAATCAGAAAGCAGTACTGAGAGTAGAGAATAATACCACTGAAGAAATTGAAATAAAGCGAGGTGTGAGACAAGGGTGTATACTGTCACCAACCCTGTTTAATATCTATTCCGAAGACGTAATGAATAGAACACTTTCTGAGCAATCCGTTGGTATTAAAATAAATGGTGTTAGATTAAACAATCTGAAATTTGCCGACGACACCATTCTGATCGCAGAAACACTTGAAGAGCTACAGACATTGGTGAATAAGATAGCAGACTGCAGCGAAGAATGTATCGAAATCAACACAAAATATCCAAAAGTTATATTTACACAATGAAATTATCGATCGAGTTAGCAAATACAAATATTTAGGCACTTTTATAAATGAAGACAACGACAGCTCAGCAGAAATCAAAATAAGAATAGAAAAAGCCAAATCCATATTCACTAAAATGAAGAGAGTGTTCTGCGGAAGAGATTTGAGCCTTGAAATGAAACTTCGCCTGATGAGATGTTACGTACTTTCTGTGCTGCTCTACGGAATGGAGTAATGGACGTTGAAAAAGATTGATACCAAAAAATTAGAGGCATTTGAACTGTGGATGTATCGCATAATCCTGAAAATGTCATGGGCCGAGAAAGTCACAAATGTCGAGGTCTTGAGAAGAATGAATAAAGAAAAGGAAGTCATATTTACGATCAAAAAACGAAAACTGCAATACAAGAGGCGAAAGATATGAACTGATTCGAATACTTATGCAAGGGAAAATAGCAGGAGAAAGGTCCATAGGAAGAAGACGAAACTCCTTGCTAAAAAATCTACGGGAATGGTATAGCTGTAGCAACAACGAATTGTTTCGGTCAGCAGTTTCGAAAATACGTATAGCCCTAATGATCGCCTGTCTGAGGCAGCACACTGTGCCCAGGAGAGAGAAGAATGGATAGCAACCATTCGTCAAATACCATAAAGTTACCAAATCCTTACGAAGGATAAATTATAGATGAAAAGGATATAAAGTAGAAGCATAGACACTTTCTGAAATTTATTTAGAAAAGATCGAGGCCTTCGAGATGTAGTGTTATAGGCGCATTTTACGAATTTCATGGATGGATCATGTGACTAACATTGAGGTTCTACCTAGAATGTGGGCAAGGAATGCGAGACCTCTAAGACAATCAAAGAGCACAAATTAGAATATATTGGCCACGTTATGCGAAATGAACACAGATATGGCTTATTGCAAGTTATTCTTTAGGGCAAGGTATTTGGATAGAGAGGACCAGGGAGAAGAAGAATATCTTGGACTCAAAACCTAAGGAAGTGGTTCAATACGTCTACAACCGGACTATTCCGAATAGGTGTAAGTAAAGTTAGGATCGGTATAGAAACATCGTAGGAAAACGAAGCTTATACTGAAAAACAAGCAAGACACATAATAAAGAAACACACAAGCACACAAGAAGAAAAAGGATCTGTATTATGAGACAATGGGAAATTTATTGGAGTTGCATGCACTAGAGTTAAAGCAAAACCGTTGGAATGGTGGTAATCAAGACTTGTATGGAAAAATCAAACAAAACTACAAGATAATTTTTTGATGACAGCTACAAGACTAGTTAGTATGTTCGGCATTGTAGCTTCTATAGTTTTAAAGAGAGAGAAAAGGAATGCATTTAGAAGAAATGATAATGGCTACATGGATTAGGGCTATGAGACAAAAATAAGGAGGAAACATAAGTTTAAAACTAGAAAACCGTAGGAAAAAATTACGCAGAAAGAATAAAAAGGATTTAAAGTATAAAAAAATGACAAAAAGAAAGACAATAATATATTTTTATTCAATACGTTTTAAAAAATATTGTCGATTGCTAATATGTCAACTAAATATGCATAAAGTTTGTTGCAATCATTAATTATAGTTTTAATAATAAAACATTCACATACTTAGGTTTAAAATACCTGAAGAGAAGAACCTCGCCGTCTCTGGTAGGCTTATAGAAAGCAAATGCCTTGCTGAAAACTGTTCAATTTTCTTATCCACATACTCCTGCACAGTTTGCAGGCTACGTCCGTTATCGCAACTTTCCGTAAATGTCCGGTTCTCTTCTGGAACATGTTTTATTTCTTCTATTTTAACTCCTGGCACTATACTTATTTCACTAACACTAAATACACTGTCTACATAATTTTTAAGTTCTTGGTCTAGGTCGTCTTCCTCACTGTTGTTGAGTTCTACTTTGCAGGATGTGACTAGAAGTGAAAGGTAAAGAATCAGAAGAAGCTTTGTTAGCTGGACATTACGAGGAGTCCATAGTAAATCCATTTTAAGACGAGCATACCGTATATCTGAAACAAAAAGACTATATTAGATCAATACAAAAATAAATAATATTCGTATCAGTTTTTCATAATTGCATTGTTAAATAGGGTTTTCCGTCGACCATCCATTTATGATTAATTTTAACACCCTCAAAATCATTGATTAATGAGCCCTATTAATGGATGATTTTCTATTAATAAACGATTTAATTATAGGCAACACAACATACATTGCTTGTATACAATAATTAAACGTTCTGTGATTGACAGTGATCTGTGGTGTAGGCAACCAAACATACACCTATTTATATTCCCACTAAAAAATTTTAAATGAAGTAGCCGCTGTTATTACTATTTGTCATTGTATGTCATTAGTTACTTTATTGATTAAAATGCTGTGTATTTAAAAAATAAAAATATGGATATTGACGAATTGTCAGAAACTGCAAATGAAATATCTATAAGTTTAGTGCCTAAAAGAAGCAGAGTGTTGTATGAAAAAACATACGCTGAATTTATTGCATGGTGTGACGAGAGAAAAATAATACGATATTCAGAATCTGTATTGTTAGCATATTTTTCAAACATTGCCAAAAAAGGACTAATAGCAAGTTTGTAGCCCAAATATTCGATGCTAAAATCAACCTTAGGTTTAAAATCAAACATTGATATATCTAAATATAGATAATTATAGTTAATTATGTTTATGAAGAAAAAAAAACTAAGTTATGTACCAAAGAAAATAAACATCGAAAAAGAACAAGTCCAGAAAATCATCTCTGATGCTCCTAACGACGTGTTTCTAATGATAAAGATAAACCAGTAAATTCAGTTTATATATTTAAAACTCATATTTCATAACATTTCATTTTGTAGGTTGCATTGATTTTCAGAGAGACTGGTGCGTTAATAAAGGACGAACTATTGAAATTAGACACAAATAACGTTCAAGACGGGGTCAAAGTTTCTTGTCACAATAAAAGTATCAAAAGCACATACAAATAGAATATTTACCGTAGCAGATAATGAAGCAAATACACTTCTCAATGCGACCAAAAGCTATATTTCTTTAAGATCGACACACACCACATAAACGAGTTTTCATTTTTTATAAAAATAACAAATGTTCCACAGCCAGTTGGCATAAATACGTTTTCCAAAATTCGTTCCGTTAATGCTAAATTCTTAAAATTAGAGCACTCTACACTGGGCATTGTTTTATACGTTCCTCTGTAATACTGTGTGACAGTGGTGCAGACTTTTCATCTATTAAAAGACTAGGTGGCAGGAAATCGACTGTTGTAGCAGAAGGTTATATAGATAATTCTATGTAGAATAAACTTGAGAAGGCTGAAAAACTCTTGGGACAAACTACCACTAAACCTTGTCAAAGTACTTCCTTCAGCACCAGCGCTTCTTCTTCTTTCACATAATTTACAGAGGTCCAAGAAGAGAAATATAAATTTGTCAAAATGCTATACAGCAGATAATCATTTATCAATACCTTCCTTTAATTTCAGTAATTGTACCATTTCGAATGTTAATGTTAATAAGATTAAGTCCAAAATATCTTGCAACGAACTGTACGTTTAGTGTGTTTTTGAATATAGAAAAGAAGGGTATCTGTTCTTGGGCCGTCTGAAGATTAACATCGAGAATAGAAGGAGTTTTGTATGGGAGAAACGGTGCAAAAGATTAAGTTGTGTTAAAAATAAAAGTAATTTTATTTTTTGAAAGTGTTTGTTTTGAAAGAAAGTATAAGTAATGGTGGTTTCCTGTGTGCTGATCGAGAACAGTAGAGTATTTCAAGGCCACAACATTTGTAAGTAGAAGAGACTAGGGAGACATGAGACAAAAAATGAATTTTATGTTTCATAAATGATACAATTTATAATTTAAAGATAATTTGTAGTACAAGTGAATTGTGTGTCATCTAGCTAACCATATCGTTTTTATGCTTCAAAAGTATTACCTCAAATGTTTAGATGCATTTAAATGAAATGGTGTAAAGTATCTCACCACTCTCTAGGTAAGGGATCGTTGAGACAGGTTATAGGGAACATTGAGACATTGTAAGTTTTTAGGAAATTTAATTATTGAAAAAAATATAAGCATACAGAAAGTTTACAACGCAAAATGTTCAATTAATAATAATGAACAACAGAAACTGCATTTTAATTTTTAAATGAAAAATTTACGAAGATTTTGATAATAACCGAAGTCCAAGCCAAATGTCAGTGTATATTTAACTTTTTCTAATGCATCTACATTGTTTGGATACGGTTATTTAAAAGCCAATTCTCGAACTGAGGAAATATGTTCAGTTCGAAAGATAATTAAATTTCCAGGTGGTTTCGTGACAACGTAAAAATTTAATTTCATATTCATCATCTGCCTTTGTTTGTACCAGACCCAGACCCATATATTGCAAAGTTGAAATCTTTATTTTAAATTTAACTAAAACGAAGTCTTCCACTTAGACGGTTGTGACATCCTCAACAGCTTTAATTTGAAGCATTTCTCTTTCGTAGCTTTCAATATCTTAAATATCTTCGCTGATTCCGCTTAACTTGTTTCGTTTCTCTTCATCTCTCGAAGAAGATTCTGGTGGACTTGCAAGTTTTTGATGATTTTTGTTTGTTTGAAAAAAGATTTTCATGCTTTAATAAAACAATAATTTTTGTCTTAAATTAAAAATTGAATTGAAAAAGACTGTAAGACTTGTACACACTTCTAAATAGGTCTAACTGGTAAGCAGGTTTTGTATGTTTTCAATAAAATTGATAGTGTGTAAAATAATTTATTAATTAAGCTGAGTATACTTTCGACATAATAAATGTCATCATCAGAGCTATCCTAAAATAACGTTAAGTTAAGTAAATTTTTTTATATAAAATACAATGACAGAAAAAACTTACGTCAATTAGGCAATAAATGCTTCATAGAAGGAAAATTGTGGACAAACGACATATTAAAAACCAAAGATCGGGCTCTGTAGGCCACAGATCTTGGTCTAACCATCGAGCAATAAGATAAAAGAGGGAATGTAAAGGTAGTGGGGGTAAACATATTGATAGACAGGAAGTGCTATTTTGAGAAGCCACTTTAAACAAGGAAAGAGAATCTCTTTCCTTGTTTAAGAAATCAAATTTAGTTGGGTTATATTATTGTTTGTCAAAACTGTCACATGAAAGCTTATTTATATTTTCTATTGAAGTTTTTTAACGTTTTAGACTATTATCGTTATTAATTAATTAAAACTTTATTGTGTTCTAGTGTTAAAAAAAGTATTTTAATAAATAAATAGATAAATATATAATATAAAATTTTATGTAATATAAAATAAATAAATAGATAAATTAGAACCCCTACACCACTGTATGATTATTGTCAAGTGTCATGAAATTTAAATTTGGCGCATTTGCATTTCCGGATATGTCCGCCATCAGAGGCTACTTTTTTGGTCTCCTTTTCATAACGATTAGATTCCCTCTTTTGTCTTATTGCTCGATGGGTCTAACCCTTATACATATGTATAATTCACATCAAAATTTTTTTATAAAACATGGTTACCACATACAGCAACGACAACAGCTGTTTTTGACTTACATTTTTGAAGTAAAATGAAATAGAAAGCTCGGATATACGGAAATAAATCCGAGAGCGACCTCTGTATTTAAAATTATTAATTGAAAATTGAAAATGTCTAAACTGACGTCTGAAGGTTATTGATTATTACTTTTAGTTACTATAGAATTTTAAATTTAAATATTTTAAATTGATAAGTTAACGTGAAGATTTAAAATGTACATTTATCAATATTATCAAAAAACAAAACTTTAAAGTTTGACCAAGTAGAAGAAAGTAGATGAAAACCAACCAAGGAGAAGTATCATTTGCCAAGTTAAGAGTTCAATAGCTTGATTGATTATCAATATTATTAATGAAATAAATAATGAAGAAGAAAAATATCAAACATTCTCTACTTAGATGAAATCAATGAAAGAAAATTTAAGAAATTATCTCTTTTAAATCTCTTTTAAAATAAAGGTCAAAGCTTGATCAAATAATGGTTAATTTTATACTAAATGTATTATTAAAGAAACTTCTTAAAGATTGGATCAAACTTACAATTTAAGTTAATTTGAGTGTTGACACAGTTCTGAGGATTCCTTTTCATTTCTCTACTGATTTCAAGATCTTCTAGTAAATTCATTTTTATATAATTATTATTGGGTATACTGTGTAGGATCTTGCTATCTCTATGAGGACTAAAGCCATGCTTTGAAGCATGTATATGATTCCCAAAACTAGATTTATCAATCTTAGACAGATGTTCTTTAATGCGTATATCCAAAGGTCGCATTGTTCTACCCACATAGGTCACCGGGCATTCACCACAGGATAATTTATAAATACCACTTTTTGACGATTTGTTGATTTTGTCTTTAGTGTGGGAAAAAATAGATTTGATATTTTCTTTAACTTTGAAAGAAAGTTTTAGATATGTGAAAATATTTATATATAATATGTGAAAAATTGTATCTCTATTAATGTTGTTTTTAATAAGTAATTTCTCAACTATGGAAATGATTTCATCTCTAGGTACATTTGTAAACAAATTACTTACATCAAAGGAAACTAGAAAGAAGACGTAAATTTAAAACTGACAATTTATTTACTGAGTCTGTAGAGCTTTTGACAGAAAAAGTGGGTTGAACAGATATTGAGGATTGTAATATAGAATTGATGAATTTGGACAATGTAACAACTGGTGTGTTATAAAAACTAACCACTGGTCTCATAGGGGTGTTAGGTTTAAGAATTTTTGGTAAACCATATAGTCTTGGTATTTGTGGATTTTACAAAATGAAGGTTTTCTCTATCCTGTTATGTGATTGTAGGAAATCTTTTTTCTGTCATTGTATTTTATATAAAAAATTTACTTAACTTAACGTTATTTTCGGATAGCTCTGATGATGACATTTATTATGTCGAAAGTATACTCAGCTTAATTAATAAATTATTTTACAGACTATCAATTTTATTGAAAACATACAAAACCTGCTTACCAGTTAGACCTTAAATTAAAAATAAAATTAATTCATTGTTTGCTATGTCAAATTATTGAAAGTTATAAAATCGGTAACTGTATTTAAATTTAGATCAAATTTTATTATTATAATAATATATAGTACTTCCAAAATGAAAATGATCGTATATCTTAATCAAGAATTATTTATAATTTAATAATTCATTAAAATACGAAAGATGTTCTCTATAAGCAACCAACAGCCACTAAAACATCTTAAAATTTAATCTACAAAAACATCGCTTTTACTTCCTTACTGTGCATTTTGCCTTCAGGATATATCTTTTTTCCCAACAAAGAGAACAAACGGGGCTTTCAAAAAAAACAAGACAATAAAGGGTCGATTTCATCGAATCCAAACATTCAGAAACGGTTTTGGGTAAAATTCTCCAAAACAAGGGTTGAATAAATTTGATATTAACGTCTACGACGCAGAATATAATTTCTCCGAGATTTCGAACCTGCAAAAATTGAACATTCATTTCTGTTTTGCCTTGTACATGAAATTTAATTAGGTATTTGCAAAATGTTTAAGAATTCAAATTTTAAAATGATAAAGGGCAATGAAACTTAATTTGGAAGGAAGACACAAAGTCAATATAAAATCTAAACAAAAAAAATCGAAACCGTAAATAATATATGAAGAAACAATTACGGGATTATAACATTTAAAAAAGTATAATGAACTAGAACTTTACTAAATAAACTAGAACTTAAATTTTTGACGATGCTATAGAAAAACGAGATAGGACTTTAACCCTGTAACAGTCAAAACTCTCAATGAAAAAAAAAGAATGGCGCAATTTTTTTTCTAGTATAATTAGCGTGTAAAAACTCCAAAAAAATCATCCAGAGGTGGCTTGCTCGTTTCCAGATATGTCAGGTAGACAAAAGGTAAAACAGTGCCTCAGGGAACGCATGGCAGTTTAGGCCGAATATAAGAACATGTATACAAGACAAGAGTAAGGTAGAATTATCAATAAAAAATGTTGTTTATTAAGAGATAAAAGAATAATAGAATAAATGGATGAAGATAAATAACAAAAGATAAATAAAATGAATTATTTTTAGTGTGGTAATCGAAAAAACAGTTTTTGGCGTTGGAACAGCATCAATGGAGATCGCATTCTGAGCAACCACACTGCGTTTGTGACTTCTTGCACAATTTGCACCATCTCTTTCCACGTTCTTTGCCTAGCCAGATTGGGAAATGGTCTTGACCGTCGTAACGCACTTCAGGAAGTGGATGTTTCGACTTTTGACCAACGCTCGAGCTACCTTTTTGTGGATCTACGGAAGTTTATGGTCGCGATGTTGATGGTTTTGGACGACCAACGGGCCGTTTTTTGTGGTAGGCTACCAGAGAATCGTCAACTACTTCATGAAATTGTGGTAATTGCAATACTCGTTCTTTGGCCGAGATATTACTTGAGTCTCTGATATTACTATTATTTTGCTCTAATATGATACCGATCATATCATCGATCAAATCTACGCCGCCCACGTGACTATTATATTCTCTTATTATTTAGGGACAATCAACTTCCAAATGTGCTTTAACCTTTCGGTCGTAGCGAGCTGCTTTCACTGGATGTTTGGTTGGATCTTCGTTGGATCTGGCGAATGGTTTAATACCAACGTACTTTGATGTCAATCGCTCTGACTTGTTATCTTTTCGTAAGACATTATTGATGTCCACACCACATGCAGAGCCTACAAATTTACATGAATAGCCATGGAGCTCATCTTTTGTATCTCTATCTACTGGCAGCTTGCAATTTGGTATTCGAGAAACTCGTATGGTGCCCAAACTATATATGTGTCGAGCTCGCAACAATACCAACAAAGGCAACGATGTATAAAAATGATCGAAATACAAGATGTGATGAACAAAGTCTGGAATTGTTTGTGACAATCGTACAACAACGTTTGATGTGGCGTCAAGATTAGGCTGACTCGGTAAGATCACATTGTCGCCAGCACCATTATAAACCTCAAACCGATAAGCGAATCCATTCGTATCACATAAAACAAACAGCTTGATATCCCACTTGTGTGGTTTATTTGGCATGTATTGGCGCAAATGATGTTTTATTTTGGTGCTGCATATCTGTTGTTCGTCGGTGCACAATCAAGCAGTCTTCGGAACGGGATCGAAACGAGTGTTTAGAATAGCAACCAATGTTCGAATGCGGAACAACGCATCGTAGCCGGGTTCGCCTCTCTTGACGCGATTGCTTTGATCACGAAAGGATAAATGTTGTTTTATCGCCATGAATTTTCCTTTGAGCATTGTCTTTGCTATTGCTTGAAACGCGTTTTGGCTCCAATAGCTTTCTAAATTGGAAGAACGGTAAACACTTATGTAAATGAGAATTTCAATATTTCTAAAAATATCTTTACTGGTAGTAGTGAATTTTGTGTTGATATCGGCCTGGCAAGCTGCTCGATTTGTTTTAAATGCAATCAAGTCAACCAATTTCTTAGTGAAAATATATCGAAATAGTTCCTTTGAGCTCTTTTATGGACGATGGTATGCTTGAGTTACCTCGGAGGGATACTTGATTGACATGCAAACGCATGGATTGTTTTCGCCATACGATTTTGAAGAACTTTTCAGCGAATTTTCAGCTATTGATTCAATACCTGCAAAAAAGTTCTAATTCCAGTTTAGGAAACTCATCAATACTCTTATGTCAAAACAATTCATACCTGCACTAGTGAAACCTCCAGCAGAAGGCACAATTGATGGACTAGCAATTTCGATTTCGGCAATTTGATGGCACGTCGTGTTGATCTTTTTCTTCAGCCGAAAAAACCTTTTCGTGCGAAACATTCTGTTCAGGAAGTAATGTTGACGAAACTTATTGAAGTGCTTTGTCGACTGCAGTCAAATTCAATGAAAAGTCGGTCGCTTGATTGACGAAAGCAGAATCGTCTTCATCGATTTGCCGAACCACCTGTGAAATATACTGTTCATCCTCGGGGGAGATTTCATCAAGCACAAAATCTGGATCGTTCACATCATCGTCGCTACTGAAATCAGTTTCCACATCTGATTCGACCGATTTTATAAATGCCCGTTGTTCCTCTTGGCTCATTTCGTTGATCTTTACTTTATTTCGCCTTTGAAAAATCTATTTTCTACCACAATAGAATTGTAAACAATGACACAATTAGACAGCTAAACACAATAAAAAGAGGACACTAATCTCCGTCTTAATTGTCATAAGTGCTCTGAGGCACGCTTTCCTTTTTCTGTTTTTACACAACTTCATAATTTTATTTTTGACTTCCACTTCCACATATAATAATAAAAGAATGAATTCTTACCTTTCTAACGTTATAAATTACGACTAGATCCAGGACGAAAAATATATAATTTTTTTTGAAAATTGCTGTTTTTCTTCGCTTAACCGATGTTAACATTTCCTTATCTTTAGGTATTCTTTTCAAAAACTCGATGATTTGACCTTTTTTAATCACTCTATCGTTTGACTGTATTTAATCATTATCATGTACAGTGTCTCATGTACATGTACATGAAAAATGCATAAAACCGTTTCTAGGATAGTAAGGGGGAACTAAAATGACATAAAACAGAACTCATCCCCATCAACCCCCTAGACCCCAACCACCACAACCAAAAAAGTTTTAAATTTCAAACCCCTGTTTGTGATACATCATTGAAGACTATAAAAAATGCTATCCAATGGTATAAATAATAATTATACAAGAAGAAGCAAAATAAAAATTTTAATAAGGTTTTTGTTGATTCTGTTGATGACCCTGTATCCTGCTTGGATACTTATTATCCGAACCTATTAAGTGGCCGACAAGGTCACCAATTGCCGTATTCCCAGATTCCAGTAAGAGCCTTAAAGGTATCCATTTAACTCTGGCTGGCAAGGGTGGGGAATTCCTTTTTGGATATCTAGAGATATCCAAATGCCAGGATATCTCAAGACATCCTTGCATTTTTCGGCCGAGTAAGACACTAGGCCAGAAGACTCCAGGGTAGTGCCGGATTACCCGTGTTCCGGCTAAAACCTTGGTTCAATATGTTAATTTTTTATAAGACTGTATTGATGTCCACACCAACAACAGCTTAACCAACCTTCCAGGGAGGTGGTCTTGTCACTCGATAAACAACTAAAATAAATTCTAAAAACTTATAAATAACCATACCTATTACCATAAATCACAAAATGTTTCAGACCTTAGCCCATAAACTAATAAATAATATTAACCAGAAATGTCAGATCCCTGGTTTAATTTTTTCCTGTGTTCTCCTGCTCCTTTTTCTTCATGACCCCAGAAATCAGATGTGTACTTATTTCCAATATTTCTCTTTCACTACCCTCCCCAAATCTCCTCTCTCATTTGCCATCTCTTGCAGTTAAAAATATGGATCCGTTTTTTGGATGTGTACTCCGAATCTTAGTCCTTCCGACAATCAGACTCCCAGATACTTAATCGATTCAACCGATGCAACCTCCACACCTTCTCAACCCTCTGAAATACCCTGCGACAAACTGAGGCTGGTGTCTTTTTCTCTTATGGACCTGTCAGCAAAATATCTGTCAATTACATTAACCAGGTACTTACTAACGCCCAATTCTCTCAGCCTGGACATGATTTTTTCCCATGATGCCGTGTTAAAGGTATTCTTGAAGTCAAGCAGGATGAGAGCCACCCATCTCTTTGTATCCTGCATAACTAAAGAAGTTACTTCTGTGACCGCACTTGTGGTGAACCTTTTGGCCCTATAACCGTAGTAGCGGTCGTTCAGCGTCTGCTTTTCTTTTAGCTCTCGCTCTAGGAGGCCTTTTATAAGCTTCTCGTACAATCGAACTAAGAAGGCAAATTGGCCGAAATTGCATCTATTCATCTCTACCTTTCAGGATAAGGACAACTTGTTGTTCAAGCAGTTTGTTAACACTATCCAGAAGTCCTGGAGAAAGTTCTTCTGGAACATCAAGAAGAAGCAGAACTAATCTGACTTGAAATTGGCAAGTGTGACCTTGCCGAAACGTCGCCAAAACAATAGTTTTTATAAAAACCATAACTATTTAACGCGGAGTCAAACCCGGAAAACAACTGAAACCACATATAGCTCCCGCGGAAATTTCAAATCCAATATATTTGTATATATATATATATATATATATAATATATATGTGTGTGTGTGTGTGTGTGTACAATTAAACTAGATTAATTTTTTTGTGGAGAAATCGTTAAAAATTATTGTAATGTAATTATTTAGATTATTATCAATATTCATTTAGTTCCACTTTTATACTAGGTTTGCATATACCATTATAGACGAAAGGAAATTTTAAATAGAAATCAAAGACCTACTAACCTAATGCGTCAGTTTTACTCTCTTGCCCAGTCTAGTAAGTTCATTATCTCATTTAAATAGTCAAAGTTTTTATGTCGCACAGAATCGACAAAATTGAATTTCAACGCAATAGTCTAGTCAACAAAATTAAATTTATAAACAGCAGCAACGGAGACGTAGACGATGACCAACTTTATTGGTAAAATCTGTAGAAATGATGCTCTTTGAATTCATGTTGTATTGTAGGCAACAGACAAGAATACTTATGAACATTTTGGTAAGGTTTTTTTGTAATAAAGATTTTTTAGATTTTTTTATTATCTGAAGATCATGTTAGTCCTTTTGTTTTGCTTTCAATAAACTGTTTATGACGGATTTTATTAAACACCCTGTTATAGTCTATGAAACAGATATATACAGGGAGCGGCAGATAAATGGTCAATTAGAAATATCTCGTCGCCTTTAGACGGACATCAGAGCATTATAAGAAACCAAATAGATTATGTGACAATTAATAGAAGGTGCAGGAATGCTATTACTAAGGTATCTGCATTACCTGGAGCAGACATAGGATCCGACCACAATCCCTTAGTAGCAAATATCAAACTGAGGTTCGCTACAGCTAAAAGAAAACACCCAGAAGGCATCAGTAAACATTAGAAAACTCAAAAACAATGTATCAAATGAAGCGTACACAGAGGAAATATAAACAATAGGTTCTCTAATATGGCAACTGAGAATGATGTTGAAAAGTCATGGGCCACCATAAAAGAATCATTTGATGAGTTGAACAACATTTTTCTACTCGAGAGTAAAACAACTACCAAGAATGAGTGGATGACAGAAGAAATATTAGAGATGATGGAACAACGCAGGCAGTGTAAGATCAGGCAGGACGAAGTAGGGTACCGAAATATACACAGTCAAATTCGTAAAGAAATTATAGCGGCGAAGGAGATCTGGATGACTACACTTTGCGCCGAGGCTGAAAGCCTATATAAACTCGGCGACAGCTTCAATCTTCACAAGAAAATTAAGGAAATTGCTGGTGTCTTCAAGAAAAAACAAGTCACTGGTATACATAATGACCAAAATGAATTAATAACGACCCTAGCGATATACTTAATACTTGGAAAATGTACACAGCCAATTTGTTCAATGATGACAGAACACAAAAACCACCACAACTGGGAGACCATTTGTATGGCCCAAGTATTTTGAAAGCTGAAATTGTACATGCTATCAAACTATTAAAAACAAAACCCCAGGACCAGATGATATGTACGCAGAAACAATCGAGTTACTTAATGAAGAAAATCTAGACATTATTGTCAAGCTCTTTAACGACATCTACGATACGGGCCAGATTCCAAAAGATTGGCTTTGATCTACATTTATCGCCCTACCAAAAACACCACGTGCGAACTTCTGCAAGGACCACCGACTAATAAGCCTAATGAGTCACTTTTTAAAACTTTTCCTGAGAATACTTCACACTAGATTGTTTAAGAAATGTGAAGAAGTCAGTGGATGGAGTCAGTTTGGTTTCAAAAATGGACTTGGCACGAGAGAAGCGATCTTTAGTATGCAAACATTGATACAGAATTGTTTAGATCAAAGAAAGGATGTTTTTATCTGTTTCATCGATTACGAGAAAGCATTCGATAATGTAAAACATGAATTAATGATAAAATACCTACAAGAGTTGGGATTGGATGCAAAGGATATAAGAATCATCGCCAATCTGTATTGGAATCAGACAGCAACAGTACGTCTTCAAAATTCCAACGAAACAGAAGATTTCTCCATTAAAAAAGGAGTAAGGCAAAGTTGTATACTGTCCCCAATGCTGTTCAATTTATACGTAGAAAAAGCCTTCGCAGAAGCAGTGGAAGACTCTAATAAGGGTATTAAAGTTAACGGCATATTTATTAATAACATCAGGTATGCCGATGATACAGCCATAGTGGCAGATAACATCGAAGATCTTCAATGCCTTTTAAATGATCTAACTCTTGCAAGTGAAGCTCGGGATTGAAAATAAATATCAAGAAGACAAAATCAATGATTATAAGTAGAAATGATTACCCCAACGCAAAGATATATGTCTCTGGAGAAGAAATCGAACAAGTCAGGCAATTCAAATACTTGGGATGTTTGCTGAATGAGGGTTGGGACCCCGAGAATGAAATAAAGAGCAGAGTTGAAGAAGCCAGAAATGCTTTTTTGAGGTTTTGTAAGTTTCTGACTGATCGCAAATTGGACTTCAACCTCCGACACAAGATGCTTAAGTGTTACGTGTGGCCTGTTCTCCTGTACGGAATGGAAGCATGGACGTTAAAGGCCAGTTCCATTAACAAACTTGAAGTGTTTGAAATGTGGTGCCTGCGTCGAATGCTCAGAATATCATGGACGGACAGGGTCAGAAATGAGGAAGTACTCAGAAGAGCGGGCTTACAGGATAGGGAACTTTTTAATTATGTAAAAAGTAA